TCTCTCTCTCTCTCTCTCTCTCTCTCTCTCTCTCTCTCTCTCTTTGCAATTTCCTAAGAGAAGGAATATCGGAATCAAAGGGTTTTCCAGAGGAAAATGTGTGCCATAAGAGGAAAAAATAATACGCGAGCAATATTTCGGTGAAAAGACGTAATGTTCGGAAAATCTTGGTCGAAGATCGATATCTCCTTAAAACCGGCCGCTATTAACTCTCGTTGACTCTCTCTCGCCTCGATCCAATTTACTCTCGATTGAAATCCTCTGTCAAGAGCGTTACGAGTTAATTGATCGGCACGACTCGGGAATATGTCTCGTCAGGTATTCTCGTTTTTTACTGTCTTATAGCCGGCGAATATATGTAATAATGTTCTCTAATGCGCCGCGATTTAATACCGACGATGATTTACGCTCAATATGTGTCGCTTCTGCAACTAGAAAGTGGATTTTGTTGCCCATGTGAATAAAAGGACGATAAATTGTGTTTTCCCATTGTGCGGTATAAATTATTCGCCGTCAGTATACGCGCATGAATCTCCCTATTCGATTATCAATTATATTCGTGACTCCACGTCGCCAAGGGGAATTAAAAAATGGAGAAAACGAGAATGGGGCGCGAGCAGTGCGCAAAATTGTGAAAAATGATGCTACGTAGTATATTCTAATGCAGATTCTTCGCCGCTGCACGCTAACGCTTCGCGAACCGAACATTCACTTCCTCGACGCGTAATTCCATTTCTCCGACAACATGTTTATCATGATATGCACGTGTTGTGCATCTGAGGGATATTCAGAAATATGCGAAAAGAGCGCTCGGAGCTATTTTGAAAAGCTTTCTTGATCACATACTCAGTATTCTTCCAATATACACGTAAACGGAGAATCGAGATGCTGGAATGGCGCATGAATTATTGAAATTGTCGAGTAGAAGTCGAATAAAAATTCGCCGAACGAACCAAGGAAGAAATACTGTACGTTTTTCTTTGCAAAAATAACCTACTTATAAATCGAGATATTGAAAACCTAAATCGAAAATAAATACACGCCGTGAACGCGCGCGCGTGCATGTGTGAATGCTGCTTTGAAACGGTGATTTATAAAATTCACGTTGCGCACAAACGAGCGAATGTGTTTTGGTGGCTAAACGCCACGTATAGCGAAATTACGAGCATACTTCGCGCCGTTGGGAACGCGCCTCAATCGTTAATCATTTCTCCGTTATTGTATTACTGTATTATTCAACTCGCTTGAGGTGGAAGGCCCTAAAACAATGCGCTTCGAGAACGGAGGCAATCAATCTTACTTTAGCCTGAGTATCGTATATTAGCGCGGCTGGCCCACATTGTATTCACCTACCGCGGAATTGAACTAATTGCAATTAATAACTTCTCATGAATACGTCGAGCACTCATCCTTCTTTCTCTTTCTCTCTCTGATTACAGGCATCAGTTCTACTTGCACTCCCGCCTCGAGCTAGTCGAGGGTAGGTTGAAAGTCCCGGATTGGGGCTCCGTGGCCCGTTTGGTCGCCCTGATAGCGCAGGCCGATGGTGGTGATTACGATGCGCTATCACCGCCGCATGCACTTTACTCTCAGTGCTGTCACATACAACCCACGGAGCCATGCGAGCCAAAACCTCAGGACTTCCTACTTCGGATAATTCAGCAGCACAAGGAAATCAAGGTGTGTAACGCTCCAAAGAGAGAATTGTTGTAACTTCGTGCGCTTTATATTCTCTCTCTCTCTCTCTCTTTCTCACTCGATCCGACCTTAATTGAGCTTTTTCCATCATTCGACTTTTTCCAAAGAATTTTTCATTTCAATGATTTTATTTGCCTGGAATATTTGCGCGTGACTGCTTTTACAAAATGTACGAGATTTCGCGAATAACTTTATTTCCAGCTAGGTCGCATTTTCCGGGGAGTGAATTTAGAACGAATCATTCCGCCTTTATTGTTTTATGAGCGAGTACGTTTGCGGCTGAAATATATCATACAAACAACTAATATGATTAACAAGGATATATTCAAATTTCAGGGGATGAAAACATCGACCGCGGAGTACTGGCTTTTGAAAGAAATATCGAACCTCGACACTTTCGGCCAGGAAATGTTTCACAGTAAATTCGGACAATACAACGGAGTGTCTATGATTGGTGTCGGTCCACATGGAATTACGGTCTATCGCAATCAAGATGAAGAAACGCAAAAGTAATTATTGTGTATATTCGAGATCTACGTAGAGTATAACCTGCACTTGTATCAAAAGACGAATAGATTACTTCGATATGATACAATTTAGCACCTCAGGAGTTTTCTTTATTTTTAAGAATAACTGTGTAAATTTAATTTATTTTAATGTTTCAAACTTTATCGCGTTGTGTATTTTTTGCAAAGTCGCATTTTCAACGGAGAAGAAAGAGGCACGCGTCTTAAGTCAAAAAACAAACAGTGTCATTGAGCGAACATATTTGCACACTGTCTAATCGTTTTAGTTAACATCGTGCTGCGAATTTTCGCACTTATCAACGCGAAACTGCAGAGCGATTTAATGTCGCTTGTCGACGATAGGAGACGGCACGTGCCGGCCGCCGCGCTGTACCGTTCGTCGAGACGGTCGTTCAGCCGATTATCCATTACTAAACTTCGTCACGAAGTTCGTTATTCGCGCTTGACACAAAACGGCAAAATACTTCCTATCAATAGTCGTCGCGAGAGAAATGCACGCAGGATGTTTATGTGCGACCGAGATCATAGGCTTCCCCAAGCTTTTACCTCATCCATTATGCAGGAGAAAATTAGCATTAAAATTTTGATTTACCTTTAGTTCGTGTGGCGTAGTTTATTTATACGATGTATTATGTATTGCGTTACAGCATACCGTATACGGCTATACAAAGCGCGACGTCACAACGGCGGATGTTCCACTTGGTCTACCTCTCACTCGACGGCGAGGAGACATCGTTGGACTTTAAATTAGACTCGAGTCAGTCCGCCAGCGGGCTTTACAGAGCGATCACCGAGAAACACGCGTTTTACAGCTGCGAGACAGTCAGAAGCGCAGTCACCGCGCAGTTTATACGCGATTTAAAGGTATCCGGAGTGAATTTACTCTATATTGCATTACGCAAACACACAAGAGATCGGCGCGACGCAACGTATGCGCGAATTGCGCTTCCATCGTTTGTAAGAATAACGTTTTTCAGATTATATTTAGTTTCTTTATCACACACACACACACACACACACACACACACACACACATACACACACGCACACACACACACACTCCGTCGAGTCTAAAACGCGATGCCGATAAATCGATAAACCGATAAACGTCATTGCTTCCTCTAGGGGACAATAATTTCCATCTTCAACGAAGACTCGACGTTGGGGAAGAAGTACGTGTTCGACATACGCAGGACCTGCAGGGAGGTCTACGACAATGCGCGACGTGCGCTCTATTGCGAGGCGGCCACCATAGCGTTGCCTGAGGAGAACGAGATCCTGGATAGGCATGGCTGCAGCGAATGCGAGAATCCCAAATGCAAGGTGAGATAAATGATAAATATGTCTGCTCTACGATGAGAAGATCTTGTGATTGATTTTCTGTTATTTGGGAATCGAGAGAACGAAAACTCGGTTGTGAGAACAGAAAGATTTCTGTAGATTTTTGTTCAGTCAATTGTTCCTCTTGGTTATCCTAACTGAGTTTTAACGTAACCAATTGCTCAGATAAATGTTTTTAGTCGCGACAACAGAGATATCGTTTCTTGTCCCTCCGAGTTTTCGGCCATTCTATTACACAAACTGAGATCTCTCTTTTCATGTATTGAAACAATCGGTATCGCGACATCGTTCGGACAATCTCTACCGTAACGTTTCGCATTATATTTTGCAGGAATCGCGGGAATGTCTGGCTAGATTATTGGACGCGATGCTCTGCCGGATCTGCATGGATCGAAGCTTGGATACCGCCTTGTTTCCCTGCGGACACGCTGTGGCCTGTTTGGACTGCGCTCGTCGTTGCGAGCGTTGCCCATTATGTCGGGCCAACATCGACTATTGCCGGACGATATACCTCCCGATTGAGCTGACACACATTGACAAGCACAATCCCAAGCTATTGTCAGAAACAATCGAGCCTGTATTTAGCAAGCCGCTGGCAGAACAAATAAAGGAGCGCATTTTGAGCGGCGAGGCGCCGGTAAATAATAACATTTGAGAACGTCGTGTTAAGCGCAGACTGGGCGCGTTCGAGAGATTCTTCAGGATTGTTACTTGTCGTGCAGGAAGGACGTATTGAAGCATCGGCATGAAGTAATTTTTCCGCAAAAAAACGAACCGAGCGTGTCAAAAATTTAATTTCGTATAATACTGAATTCTTAACATGCAACCGCGTACTTTGACATTATTCCTTCTATCTTTTTTTATTTCTTTTTTTACTTTCATTTCTTATTTGCTAATTTAACTCATGAGGAATGATTCAGAGATACGCAATTTTCAATATAATTTTTCCCGTCTCAACTGTTTTAGGGAGGATTTCTTATCGATATCAGCGAGATAGTTGAACACGCGTTTATAATCTAACTTATTATTGCGCTTGCGTATAGACAGGGTTGCAAGTTATTACGAAAAATTGATTTGCACAATGTTTTTTCACATCGTTTCTACAGAGATCGATAAAATTATCAAGGAGAACTTTACTTGGTTTTCTGACCAAAGAAATATGCGTTATCCAATAGTAGTTTTTTAAGCACGTCTTTTTAATAATTAACGAATATAGTGAACGGTCTGAATGTGCTAAAATTAAGAGACGATTTGACAGTACTGTGATTGAAGATGATATTGTTGGAAATACGCGAGAATATCGTAGATAAATCTGACGACGGAATCATAAATTACATCGTCGTCTACATATTCATAATGATGTTAAAAATAGCCCTTTTAATTGAACGGCCGAAAAGTGCTATTAGCAGCATGGATCTCTATAAGAAACAGTGCTGCCAACACGTGTGAAAAAAAATATAATTTGTATTACAAGACAAGATTCACGCGCGACGAGGTAAATTCACGCGTAAATTTTTCTTTTCAACTGATGATCGGACCAATATTTTTCTTTTTATTTTATAATCTTTATTAATGCTTTCGTTCCTCTTAGATAGATTATATGCTTTTTTGCATATGTTTATTCTGATCTAAATACACTCACTGGTTACTTGGGTCGAGACCTTATCGAAATCAGTAACTCGGCACATATTTTTAATACAACATACATTATACTCATTACGCATATGCGATATCGTTTACAAAATAACCGCTAACGACAGAGTCGCTTCTAATGGATGTTTCAATAAAACGGGATTTGAATCTTACGTAGTAAGTGTCGATATTTACTTTAATCGCGACGTTTAAAAAAAATGCAACATATAAAAAAATGCGTCTAGAATACTAAGTGAACTAATTACATGTAATTAAATCGTAGATTGTAATTATATATGAAGATTGTCGTGGACAATGCGGATGTCACATTGATATGTATATTATGGATCTATTTTTATCATTATAACAGAACAAGAAGAAATTAAAACGCGTAATCACATTGCAGAATTGTTAATGCGATTTCCTGCGAGCTATATCCTACTTTTTTTTGTTGAAGCATCCTACGCGAGGAGGAAACTTCATTACCATAATATCTTTATATATGTACATAAGAAACAAGATAACCCGCATTAGGGTCAAGTGAGTAAAAGTCACGAGTTCACCAAATGTCAAATCTGATTTAACATACTACGTGCGTACGTTATAGCAAGGCATAATAAAAGCGAAACGACTTAATTGTCTGTGCTTTGCATCTAAAAGATAATTCACAGAGCAAAAAAGTCAATGGCACTTTATGTCCAAAGAAGCATGAAAGTGGGCCATTTCGGAAAAAGAAAAAGTAAACCGACAAAAATTCGAGATATTGACCTTCCTTCTTGTTCGGTACGTAAGAGAGTCTGATGTTAGGAACGTGGAAAGATGACCTCTAATGAATTATTTCTAACATCCGCCAGTAGCATTCTACGAACTTCGTATGCGCAATGAAAGTGAGGATGATAGAGAGTGAAAGATATATATATATATATATGTGTGTGTGTGTATGTATATATATATATATATATATAAATATATATATATATATATATATA